CATCTGACAACAAGACCCATAATTCTGGTCATATTAATATTTTTTAAGTAGTTGTGTTGTTGAAAAGATGTTTGAAATGGAACGTAACTGTGGGTGAAATAAGAGGGAATATTAAAATTAATTAAATGGGTAAAATTTTCACAGTCAATACGATTGATGTCGAAAGTAATATGTCCAATATTTTACGTTTTTATTTGAAAGAAAAGTCAAATTGAATAGTAGAAGAAATTTATAGTTCATTTCATCAGATTTAACCCTCAAACATGCAACAAGTCTTAAGAAATTATTTTAAAACTTCTCAAGACTATCAGAGTGGGATTCGTAATAAGGAGATCAAATAATAGAAGCAAATTGAAGTTGTGATTTACAGAGAGAGCAAAAAAAAAATTTCAGTTAACTGAATATTACAAAAGTGCTTTGTATTTCTATTAATGAAACCTTTATTGTTTTTTTCTTAATGAAAGCAATATAATTTATAAATAAAAGAGATGTGTCAAACAGAACACCAATATTGCTAAAACTATTGAATCTACTTATAGGGGGACCATCAATTTTGTACAAAAAATATCCTTTTTATTGCCCTTGAAATAACTCATTAATTTGCATTTTAAAATGTTCAATTTAAAAGAATTAGCATTGACTATGAAACTTGTTGATCAATGTTTAACTATAGTAGTTTGACATAATCAAAATGTTCACTATTCTAAAAATTTTTAGATCATCTGCATAAAGAACAAGCGTGACATCATCAAAAGCTGATATTATCGTTAATGCACAAACAAAAAAATAGACGTCCAATACCAAAATTAGTAAGAAGGCAATGTTTGTGCTCATTTAAGATAATATTTAGATAAAAATGTTGATTTTGAAAACAAAAAACTGTAAAATAATGCGAAGGTTTTCAAAAATTACCATCCGAATATAATGTAGTACAGGAAGTTAACGTAATGTACAAATCAAAGTTACAATTTTATTATCGCATTTTCAAAGGTAATATTATTTGTTTTTGGTATATAATACGCCATTACCGAATATATCCTTTGTGTAAAAGAAGCTACCCAAGAAGTTTGAAGAAAACAAAAATATAATAAAAACAAAAGATTTCAGGTTAATGACCGATAAAAGGTTAATAATGTAATGTAAACCTTTCCCCATAATTTCTGTATGAGGATAAGTAAGGTACAAGCTAGGTTGACTGTTATGGCCAAAGTAGAAACTTTTTCATTTCAGGGTACCATTTCCCGAGTCCCTAATTGAGTCAAAAACCCCAGCCGAAAGTTATCGGTCGTAAAACAAAAAAAAATGTTTATCCCAGCATAAAACGTGGAAGAGTTGAAGAAAACCTGTTCGGCCAACTCTGTCAGAGAAACGGACACGGAAAGGAAGGAAAACTATTACATTTTAAGAGTGACCGAATAAATGGTGCTTTCACTTCTTTGTGATAGCCGAAGGCCAAGGGCAAAGGCAGAACTTCTTTCCCTCCCAATTATAATTCCCAACCGATAATCCTATTTCGTAGGATATTTTAGAATACAAATTATTTTAAAAATTGGTATCTGTCTCATAAATTCGAATGGAGATTGGACGATTTAGGACTGGGATGCTTTTAAAAAAATAATAAAATCAAACCTCGGTGCTGGCCCTCACCGTAATTCTTTATGCTAGTCATGAGGATATTTGATTAAGATTTCTAATAATATCCGTGGTTAAATTTTTAAAAAGAAAGTTTTTTTAATGAAGAAAATGTATCGTTTGTAACTTGAAGTAACAAGTATTGATATATTATTTATCAACCAATGAAAAACGTTTATTGAAATTAAACATTTCCTTATCCTGAAGATATTACATGTTAAATAATACAATAAATACTAAATTTAAAAATCAAAACCTCTAGTCTAATTTATAAAATATTCCACCAATATAAAAACATGTCTGAACTTCAAGGTTGCTTTCTAACCTTGTAACCTTACTTCTTTTCTACATCTTTATTTATATATGATCTTTAAAAATCATATCAGTTCTGTTCATTGGATGACAAGGTTATTGACCTAGTTATGTTCATATATAGCCAATAAATTATTACACTTATTTATGCAATTCAATAACAAGGAAGCGAGGGTGGCTGCAATGTTAATCCGTTGACAGGGCGCTCATATTTGATAAGGTAAAAGTCCCCGGTTCGATTTTTTTAAAATAATTTGATTGTATATATATATATAGTTAAAAAACGTTTTCTGTGATCACTTGTACCTGTTTTTTAGACTTATATGAGGTAACCTTTCTTGACCACGTTTTTAATTTTATTGTTATTGTAATTTTACCTATAATTTTTAATTATTTATGTTTCTCAATTTAAATTAATATTTAGAGCTGAGCCACAAAAATCATTGTACTTCAGTGCTCAAAAACCATGTTATTTAAATTCCTATTAAGGTTTTAAAGTAAGATATTCAATTATTATTGTAATTATTGTTTTTCATGTTATAATTGTTTGTTTATATGATAATAAAACAGGCCCTGAAGATGACAGTATAAAACTGTCGAAAGCTCGGCGAAAACCGTAAGGAAGTTTTCTCTGTTTTGACCTCTTCCGAAGATCCTCTGAAAAGAACTTCTTATTAATTATAATATTTATAATTACTTTTTAATTGTTACATCTCTTTCTATTTTTGCCAAACTTGTACCAAGTATTTGCAATTCAAATTACGAGTTATATTCCGATTAATATTGGGTCATTTTCTGAACACCTTTGCGTCCTGAGAAGTGGCTGATTCGATTCAAAGTTTTCCCTACAAAGGAGTCAACTGAAAAGATACACTAGCCAGGTAAACAGAAATGAGGGACCTGAGGGGGGAGTAGACCCTTCGAAAATGGCGTGGTACAAACAATATCTGACTATCGTTTACATCCCCTTGCATAAATTCATGTGCCACTCTTTATCTAGCTTGATTTTTACTGGGAAATAGATAATTTTAAGTTTTAGCTCTACTTTTTGCTAATTAGCACTACCTTTTGTCAGTCTGGCCAGAAATTGTTGCAGGGTCGAGTTTTCCCTAAATTATTTAGCAGATCAGACACGACAAGGGGTTGGAATCCGGTTAAAGGGGATTACGGCACAAAGGCGTTCCCGGGTAGAATTCCTCAAATTGACGCCATTAAAAATTTCACCACGAGGGGCGGAAGCGAGAAAAGGTGCACCCTCTCGACCTCCACCTTCCACTCCGAGCCGAAAATGCCAAGAATCCCCGGAACGTTGAACTCGGAATCTTCCTCTTCCCGTGCTTCATAAGCTACATGAAAAATAATGCAGTCAAAGCGATACACTTCCTTCACTTTTTCATCTTCGTAAAAGAAAGGCATTCCTCATTTACTCTACCGACAGTTTCCCAAAGCCTCCTTGACGGATTATTTTCTATATTTATCTTTTAGGTAAAGACAAATTTTCGAAAGATTGATTATGACGAGTTTAAGTTAGATTCATCTTGATCGCACGGCACAAGAAACCATCACATGCCATAATTGCCAAATCGCAAGGACTAACTCGTTTAGTGGGTCACGAGACCATCTCCTTTTCCGTCGTCTGGTGGGATTATTAGGATGGTTTCTAATAGATACGTTTTTGGTTAGTCAATAGAGATGAGAGAAAAGTTTATTGAGGATGATGGAAAATGTTTAGGGGATTTATTTTGGTACGGGGTGGATTTTGAGGTTTTGTGAAGGGTGTTGTTGCAGTAAGGAGCATTTTGACTAAGGTTTTGAGAACTTTAGATTGTAAGGACTGTATTTCTTGGTTGTTGGAAGGTGCCCCATTGTTTTAGTTCGTACGTCCAGATTGGTTGTAGTATTGTTGTAGACTGTCCGTTTGTCTTTAGTTGAAATGTTAGATTTGCTCAGTCGTCTACAGATTGGTCCAAAGGTTTGTACAATTCCAGTCATTTTTGAGTTGTGTGTTGGTTCGAGGTTAGTCTTGAGTCCAAAAGAAGCCCGCGTGTGAAATCTGATTTAGGATGGGAGAATTATTGAGGAATTTGTATGAGAATGAAGAGTTTTGCTTCGAAGGGTGAATGGTAGATGGTGCTTTTGCTTTCATAAATTTTATACGCTAGTGTTTGCTCCATTCGTCCATTTGCAGGGCATGTGCCTCCGAAGCAATTATGGGATCTTCATAATCGTAACAGAACTAAAGTAGAAATGTCATTTCCGGTCACCCTGACCGTCTTATTACGCTTGTTTTTGTCATTTCACCATCCTCAGTGATCGTTATTTTTAAAAGGAAAAACAAATGCGACATATATTATATAAATGAATTGTTAAGGACATGTTATTTCATTGATGTGAGGTTGTCAAGTTGAATTCTCCCTCTTTGTCATTAAATGTTCTAATGTGTTACACATATCGTCGTTTATTAAAGTTAGTCTTTTCTATTATCTGTTCCATGCATTGGGTCACTTATTGGGTCCGTCTTCTTTCGCCGGTTTGTTCCTTCGCTTTTTCGAGTACCACTTACATGTCGTTGGGTCCGTCGGTTTTCGCTGGAGGCGTTTGGACAAGTCCACTATGTTTACACTCGTTAAGAAAAAATTTCAATTAATTAGAAAACACGCTGGGATAAATGCTGTAGCGGAAGAAAAATTTCGAAAAGGAAAGTTGTTCTTTTCTCGCGAGTGACTTTTACAGCGGTGTAGTATAGTGTAGGCTTATTACAGTAATTTCCTGGAATGGCACTCCGGTCGTACACCACTTCAAAACATACTTTGCCCCTTTTCCTCGCCCGGAGTCCTCTGAGGGTGTGAGAGGGCGAGGTAAAAACTTTCCGTCCCGAAGAGACTTTAGTTAGGCGTTGCACGTACAGTTCCCGGCCCCCGCCCGTCCGCGACCACCTCGCTAACTAAGTTCCAGCCCACCCCCGCGCCTTCTTCCACCCGCCGCCGTACTAAACCATACACACGCAGACACCCAGAACAGAGACGGCTCTTCAGAAATCGAAAATATAAACTCACAGCTCCGGGTACAGCACCCCGTACGCAATCTTCAACGCTCACCTGAAACAAAACACAAATTACTGAATAACTCGTTTCCTCCATTCGCATTTATTCTCTTTTACTTGATATTCACACACACACTTTCATTCAAATTGTGTCACATGCACAGGACGTGTGTTTTATAACTGGTTAGAATGCGCCTGGAGCAACTTTATTTTACATTAAATTGAAAACAGTGACTGAATGTAAACCTTCGTTTTGGTAAGAAACATTTTCATTGAAGTCTATTTTCCTTATGATTTTCCGTCTCTCTCATGCTTTCTGGCTCAGAACTACAATTTTCACCACATATTTACATTTAATATCCCTTTTGAATTTAATGTTTGTTTCATCGAATCATTTATACTCCTGTCACGTTATCTAAAAAAAAATTGTATATTTACGAGTTATAAGATCGATTTATACGGGTATGAATGGTTGGGTAACGATAGGCTCGGCAAGGATAACAGAGTCAAAAAATACCGTGAAAAATCGAGTATTTCTAGTTAGATTAAATGAATTTTTGTACAGGAGGGCTTAACGTCCAGCAATAGTTAAATGTCGCGGTCGAGGAGTCAAACCACATTACAATACTGCTTTCATACTAGACTTTACTAAAAAGCCATGAGCTGTGCTGTGATTCGAACCCAGGACCGCTAGCGTAGCAAATACGAGTCGGACGCCCAACCACTCACCACCGCGGGCCCCTTTACTCCGAAGAGTCAGCTAACCATGGATTGATCGACATTAATAACAGCATTTAGCAGTAATAATTAAGTTTAATGTAGGTTCAGATGGAAAAGCAAGTGTCACGAGCGGAATTCGAACCCACGACCTTCATCTCAATACGCCACTCTAACCACTTGAGCTATCGTGACTTCAATCGACCGGGACACCAACTCCCCATCAAAACCTACAACCTTTCTAATTTTCCCTCTTTTTGCCATTTTTCAAAAGCTATGTAATCAGGATTCGATTCTCAGTGACTTACGAAGTGGCCACTGGGAGCTGTTAGCGACCTGATTACTTCTTTAATTATTATATTAATCCATACATGTTTAGAGGCCATAATTTACCATATTAATTATTTCAATTAATTACTCTTTTTTTTCTAAGATCTTGGTCCAGATGAAAAAGTGTAAAGAGCGGGATTCGAAGGTGTACTAGGGCATTGACTGTTGCCTCTCTGCCCTTCAGGGCTTCTTCAATTGTGGATCAAATAAATAATAATATAATAATAACACAAATAACAAACACAAATATACAGAAACAAGATAAAAACATGGTCTAGGTAGTATTCACTCCTCCCCAGAGTACTGATATTCCTCGGGGTAATTGGGGATATGTCCCCTCCATTCACGCTAATAAATTATTTTCACGCATTCATTATCACTACCCCAGATTATAATGATGATGATGTTGAAACGAGATTAGGAGGTAGGGGGTTCCCCGAGCACGGCAGGCATCCGGCTTATTGTACATTCCTAGTTCCTTATTTCAGTCTGTTCATTCGATCATTCTTTTAAAGAATACTGCTGATTGACTGTCGCTAGAATTCCTATATCTGTGTTTTTGTCTTTTATTGATCCATTCTGTGATGGAAGATTCTATGTTTGATTTGTTGTCCCAAGTATGTGCTTCAGAGCCATATATGGCTTTACTTATCCTCCAGTGGTCAGTGTATCTCCTTTTTTGTTACCCAAAATTGTTTGTGTGTTGATACCAAAGATATCAACACGTTGTTCTTCCCCAGGCTTTGGAGATTGTGGTTGCATTGCCTAGTTCTAATATGATTTTTTACATGTTAATGGTTTAATAGCTGCTTGGCTATTCGATCATATTAGTACTTTTGCCGATTTTCCAAGGCACAAGCATTGACGGCATTTCAGCTTGAAATACCGAGTGTACTTCTCCCATAAGAGTTTTATAGCTCTTGTTTTATGCTTGTACAAAAAACGCCTGATCCTGTCCTTTCATGTCAGTTGGAGCCATCTGTACTCACTACCCCATAGTACTACTAAGATATTCCTCGAGGTAATTGGGGGATAAGCCCCCTCGATTCCCGCAAATAAATATATTCCTTTCAATAAATAACACATATCACATACATAAAGGTACAAATATCTATAAACAATTAAAAATATTTATGTCACCAAGATATTGAATCAGCGATCTGTACCTGCTACCGTGCCTCAAGGCCGCCCATAAGCCATTCGGGATGTCGTATTTCATTTTTTGCAGTCTTTCCTTACGATAATTAGGGATCTGCCCCTGCATTTACGCTAATAAATTACAATCACCAACCAGACATCGACACACTACCCCAGAATACTCTTCTGACATTCCTCGGGGCGTAGTTAAAAAATTATAATGTCAGATATTCTCCTTATAGTAGAAGAAGAATTTCAAAACCGTGAATATATCAAAGTTGTTTTTCTTGATGTTTCGATTAATAAAGTCTTTTTTAAAGAGATTACTCACGCCGGGACGATTTTAACAATCCCGGTTGTTTACATCATAATAATGCCAAGGCCATCGAGCGCCACTCCGCTTCGCAATGGCATACCTCAAATAACTCGGAAGGAGAAAAGTTTAATATATAAAGTATCTGTGGAAATCCAAGTTAAATAACCTAGTTCTGAAATACCAAAATGTACAATCTATCGAGGAATTCGGATTGCTTTTTGAAAATTGATTTATGTTTAATTCCGTGGGTGTTGGTCGTTTCTGATCTGTTACATTACTATTACAAAAGAGCAATAACGTAACAAAGATAACTGTTAAAAGTCAAATTAGCCTCTAAAGCAGTTAAGAAAGTGTAGATAGGCAGTTAGGGGGCCATCTGTGATTCCCTTAGTTCTCCTTAATGATTGCGTCGGCGGCACCCTCGCCTTCGCGCTATTTTCCTTGTTCTTCCCAATTGTGTTAAAGGGTTGAGTCAGCAAGTGGAACTAGAGATACTTCCTCTTCATGCATATGCATACCTTGGGGTTTATGCTTGCCGGTTTGTCTGGGGGGGAGGATGCCTGGACGGGTCGATTTCAGCTAGGAAACTTTTCGCATCTCACGGCTTCTTCACCGATCGTTTCTTAAAGGTCTCAGAAATGAAATGGAATTTCTTCGTATAAATTCCTACAAGCTTTTTTGGGCCTAATCCAAAATTGATTGTCCCTTAACGATCAGATTAGAAGATTAGGTATGTTTTTGTTAAGAGAAGTTTTTAGTTTAAACATAAATTAGCCTTGGGGATTGATTTTCCTTGATGTTTTTGTTCCTTGCTGGCTATTATTAATGGATTAGTCGATAAGAGTCAAACGAAGATAGCCTGGAAGGTGTTCAATATATAAATAATAGTAGCGTAATTATGGTTTTATATGCTGCAATAATAAATATTAAACAATTGTATATGCTATTATGTCAAAAATTACATGAATAGATTAATCGATACCGAGAGTATCAGGGATGAGATAATCTACGACCCGTAATAAATGAAATCTGTTTTTCATAGGTTTGCCAGTGTTTTGGTTTTGCGAAACAACATATTTTAGTGCTACTCACCATTTGAGAAGAAATAGTTTGAAATATTCATGTCAGAAGCTAATTCAGTTAATAGTTAAATAATAAATTGTGCTAAATTTTTCGAAAATTTGCTTTTGACTGATGGATAGCATCGATCCTCCTGGGGGGGGGGGGGTTCATTTAGTTTCTATGTACTTGCTACTGGTGTTGATGTTTTCTTCAACCTAAACTTCCACCGGTAAGTTGCGACTTTTTAAGTAAATGTTTGTACATATTGTTTGGATTACAAAAACATTAATTACATTGTACCATTTTTAGGCATTTTTTGGACTCAGAAGATGAGTTAAGGTTTGAAACGCTAGGAAATGATTGATTTCTTTTTTCTATACCTGCTCTAAAATAGCAGCTAAAGACCGGATTTCCGTGCAATTACATCTTTTTTTTAAACTCCGATTGCAATGAAATCAAGACAGAAATTGGAATCATGGAAATGACGTTGTTTTGACAGTTCTCTTATTTTACAAGAAATTACACATTTTTACGGTTTATTGCACCAAATAGCGTTTTTCCAAATTTTTGATGTTTTATTTTTTTTTTTTTTAAATAATTAAAAACTTGAAAATGCATAATTTTTATTGGTTAACAGTATTGAGTTAAATTTTCTACTTTATTAGCAAGAGTAGGTTCAGCTAGCCAGTTGGCGTTTCTTCGGCTTCTTCTACCCATTTTCTCTGTAGCCTCATCTGAACCCTTGCTTTATTATGTGGCGCCTTCTAGCTGCCATTCAAGCGGTTTGCTGTTGTCTCAATTGCTTGCATTTTTAAATTACGAGGAGAGCTACTTTATTTAAAGCATACACCATGGATAGAGCGGGTGGATGAACAATGCGTGGTATGCGTATCTGGGGATGTAAAGGACTTGTTTCATTTGTTGGGTGCGTTCTAGGTACTCTAAATTGCGCATTTCCTTTTTAGGTACGCACATCTATTAGAGTTCCTCAACTCTACAACAAAATCTCGCCTTAAGCCCGGCATTCCTGTTCCCTTCGATACCGGAGTATGTAGTAGTTTCAGTTATTACTTTGATACCTTCTTTTAAGGCTATTTTTCTTTTTCTAATTATTTTCTATGTATATTTTGTATAATCTGGTCAAGCCCGGTAGACGGTTTATTGCAATGCCGTGGTACATATATTTTATTTGATTTTTCGTTTTAATTGTAAACTTATGCCTAAATACTTATATATTTTATTGATTTACTGTGAACAAAAACGTTTTACACAGTAAAAAAACAGTATTGAGTAAACGAATTGAGGATGACAAAATTTATAATGTGCTTCCTCCAAGTTATCAACTTTCAATGCCTAGAATTTTCCAAGAAATTGTTTTATGTTCGACATCCGGCCAACCGCTCATCACTTGCGTATTTTTCACTTTTCATTTCTCAGTCTTTCTTCCGCTTGGGAGCAAAGCAGAACTACGTACAAAAAATAATAATGGCCGT